TCTCACTTTCTAAAATTTAAGCCCTCATCAACAAAACATTTGTGCTGCTGCCAGTTTTCTTTAAAGAAACATGAAAATAAACAAAATAATATGTCATCATACCTGTCCCATGCTCATAGATTTTCAACTCTTTGAAGTCTAAACTACCTAGCATAGTAACGAAGTTTGCTTTCAATGTGCTTTCAGCTTGCCTTTACCATTTCCCCAGCTCTGGCCGTGTTAAACCAACTGCTGTTCCTCAAACCCTCAATGCATTTTGTTCATGTCTCTGTGCCTTTATTCAAACTGTACCCTTTGCTTTGGATGTCCTTTTCCTTCCATGTCACTCAACTTCTTCCAAGTGATTTCTTATTTTTCCTTTATGGCTAAGGTATATTCCTTATCACTGCCTTTCTCCTCTTGCTTAAATTTTTCCGGAAAGGAATAATATTCAGTTCTGCTTCTCCAAAATGCCTAGCAGAGTGTCTGGCACATAGTTGGTACTCAGGATGAAAAGATGAAAGCATGAGCTTCTTGGCTGGCTGGAAGGACAGATGGACATGGATGAATAAATGCTGTGAAGAGCCGTGCCATGAATAGTAATTCAGCAGCGAAATCACTCTGTTGCATTCAGGACATGGGATCCTGAGGTAGCAATGCTGGGATGCTCTTGAACATGGGGAATGATGAGACAGCTGGCATCAGGGCTGTCTTCAACAATGGAAACCTCAAGGATGTTCATAGTGTCCATAATGACATCAGACCATGGCCATAGGCTCCTTGAGCCATCCTCTCAACTAGGTAGTTCATAGAGGTTGTCAAAACCTGTAGATATGTTAAGTTTTTTTTTTTTTTTTCTCAGATGCAGAGTTCAGTCTCCTAGTGGGAAAGATACTTCTCAAATATACTAGACGAATCTGTGAAGGAAATGCTGCACACCTCAGGTTCTCACATGGTCTAGGACTCCGTGTTCCTTCTCTTCTTCCGGGGTTTGGCTGCTACCTGAAATTTCTGAAAGGCCTACTACTCTCCATGGTCCAGGACAGGAAGGAATCAATAGGGGCCAACACCATTTACTAAATGATGAGAACTCAAGAGTTGCAAAACACAGAAAGAAATCATGTTTGGGGAGGAATAGGAGGGAAAGTGGGAAGGAGAAAAGGGTCAGGGGAGAAGATGGCAGGAAGGGCACTTCTTTCTTTCTCATTCCATTTTGGAAACAAGGAGTGTACCCTTGGGAAGTCTCCAGAAAAATGAGAGATGGCTTTACATTAATCCTAACTATGGACTGTGAGAAAGCCACAGCTAATTCACTGGAGGGAAGGTCCTCATTTGGACTTTTTTTGTAAGGGTTTTCTGAAATGAAAAGTAGTCAAGGGATTTAAATTCTTCAAGCAATTAGCAATATGTGGTTTTCAAATGCAGCCAGGAATGAATCATCTACAAATAAAGGCTTATCTTTGTTGTGGATGAGCAGCTGAGAGCCTGAAGGTAGTCTTTAAGGAAGCCATTCTGAGACTCCAACCACCCTCAAGATTCTTTCAGAAACAACAGCAGCTACTAGGAAAAAAAAAAAAAAAAAAAAAAAAAAAAAAAGCAAGGAACAGGTAGGTAGGCCTGGAAGCAGGAAAGAAAAAGCTATATCTATTAAGTATCTCTGAGCTGAAGAGATTCCATCACCAAAGAGTGAATGAAACACTATAGAGAAAGCCAGATTAGAGATCTTGAGGCCTCAAGACCAAGCAGCCATCAGCTGAAAAGTGCCAGCTTCTTTAAGATTCAGAGACAGCCCTTCTGCCCTCCACTCTCTCAATAATCTGTCTAGTCTACTTTTAGACAGATATCTTAAGTAGGTATGAATGGAAGTAGATACAATTACGATGTATCAAAGCACTCAAGTCTTACTATCTATACTTATGGGAGCAGGGAACAGACAATCTAAGAAAGGGCTGAAAAACAATCCTTTCTGCGTGGCTTTTTACACAGAATCACAAAATGTTAGCACCAGAAAGGTCCTTGGTGAAGCCCACAATTCCAATTCTATGATGGGAAAACCAAGCATCAGAGAAGAGAAGGAACTTGCCCAAGGCCACATTTCTAGTTGTCATTTTGGGATATATTATATAATTTTGATTTGAGTGATGAGAATCAGAAGATAAAATTATATGAATTCTTCTTCAAGGTAATCAATATGTCTATGCTAAATCCAAATCTCATGAAAATGGAAGTCTACTCCTTAAGGAATAGACAAGGGCCACTTTGTATTGACAGTTTCTTTCTTTTCCGTTGTTTGAGTAAAGGTGTGCTGTGCATTGAATGTGTAAGTTAACAATAAACTTGGGAGGGAGTTGTGTCAGTAGGGCAGGGAATGTCAAGATAAGTTCATTCACCAAAGTGGAAAGATTTGCTCTTCAATCAGTGATTTAAGAAGGTACACAATTGGGTTTTTACTGGCATGGTATTTGAACATAGCATATGATTCCCTTAATTACTAAAATTAGCTTCTGAACAGGATCCTGGTGGAACTTTTTGGTTTGAGGTAATCAAGAGTGTTTTCTGGCGATGCTCTGCCTGTTGGATCTGTTACATATTATATGGCATACCAAGTTACTTAGGGTAAAAGCCATCAGGAAGTGCTGTGTTACAGCCTTTCCAGCTAAATTACTAGTGACCTCAATGACATATTAAGCCCCCACATTTGTCTAGCATTTTGCTATTTATCAAGGATGTTCACATTCATCATGTCATCTGATCCTCATTATAATTCTATGAGGATGGTATTTCTAAATCACAGACGAAGATCTTGAGGCTCAGAGGGGCACACAGTAAATAAAGGAGCTGAGCCTTTAAACTACATCTGCCTGACTCTAAAGGCAAGGCCATTTACACAACATCAAGAATGCTGGTATTTTGTGAACATTTCCTGAAGTTTGCCAGCCTCAAGCTCTAATGACTAGCATGGTGCCTTGTACATGGAAGATGCTCAAAATATCATGGGCCTGCAACTGAAATGAAGGCCAGTCACAACACTTCTCAGCTTGTCTTCATTGTGTTCACCAAGCCCACTCAAATTTGAGTACTCTACTAATAAATCAGTTTGAAAATGTACTGAACCATTCTCACCAATAAATTAATTTACAAACCTGCATCTGAGTACTATATAGTATAGTGAAATTATCTGTTATACACAGGCTCCTTTTCAAAAGCGGCTCACTGTAATCATATCACAGCCTGATTTATAATGGAGAATGTTGGCTGAGACATGGAATTGATGTTAAGATTTGTATCCAAATGTTATGAGGACTTTTGTTACCATTAAACTTTACCTGCATCAAAGTGGACTTGCAATTCATATCGCCAGATGGCCAGCCAAGAGGTTCCTTACCTGAGAGTCTCTATCTCTTATACTATACATAATTCGCAGAAGGCTAAATAATTGACAGCTGAGTGTATAAGAACCCTCAACATGGGGCTGCAACATTCATATGGAGAACATTTTCTCTTGTCAATCACTTTGTCACCCTTCCTGCCTTTGCCTCTGCACTCCCTGACCCCAGTCCTACTTCTTCTCCACTGTAGACCTCAATTGTTGGATTTCTTTGGGGTACACCAAGCAAACCAAAACAAGGTTGAGTTTTCTCAGATATCTGATTCTCATTTGATAGGGATGCTTGGAAAGCCACTCACAGAACATCTACCTGTGATGTTTGGGAGTACTGGATGCTACTTGAGATGATTCTTTTGAAATTGTCTCTCATCCAGCCTGGGTCAATTTATTTGAGGTACTTTGTTCTGTTTAAATAATACTACTGCCCTGTGAGGATGGGAAGGATATAGTTATCTACATATAGATCCACACATGGCCCTGTTCCAGGACAAGAGCACTAGTTGTTGTCTATAGATGTGCACATAGGCAGACAAGGTATTGAACACCTCACAGAAAGCCAGAGATAGACAACTGGTCTAAATTAACCTTAAGAGGATAGGGGAAAGGGTTGGATTCTAGGCACTTGGGTTTTCCAGGCTAATAATGAATAATCGGGTATGAGGCTACAGTTGCAGGCACTCAGAAATAGGCTTGCCTTTCTTCAAATTCCATTTCCAAATTGAAGTAGATTAATGATCTTGTTTTTCTAAGGAAAGACACATATTTTTGGAAGCAGCAGGCAGCAGTGATGACCCTGGCATTGGGAAGATGTAAACATGAAGAGATGGGGGAGTTTGAAGAGGGAAAATATAAATGTCAATCAACTGATGTCAAGCCTTTCTGGAATGGTGACAACACTAATGGCAGACAGGTTCATGGGACAGAGAGCCTTATGATAGAGGAACACCCTTGAAAGAGCTGTATCTTCCTTCTGTAATGTTACTGTCCTACTGAAAAAAAATGCTTTTGGAAATGATCAATAGCTTTGCAAAGAAAAGGAAATGATTAAAACACCTGTTCATCTTTGGGAGAGATAGGATAGGAAATTGGCACTGTTTGGCAGCCTAGTCATAGGCTCCAAAGAGAAGCAGCTTCTCATTACAGGTGGCTGGCCCTACAACATAGGCAGCAGTTAGCTGAGGGATATTCCCAGGTGTTCAGGGTCAGACTGTGCCTGGGTCATCCTGTACCTATGCCTGGGTCATCCTGCACCTGTGACTGTTCTGGATTTCTTAGTTCTCTCATCCTAGCTACCATTGAGCAACATCAGGTCAGTACCATTAAGTCCCCTGGGGACCCTGCCCAGTCACATGCATCCTCACTCACCCTCTGTTGGCTCCTGATCTCTGCTTCACACCTCCTGCTCTAATGCTAAGCCCCAGAATGGGGATTGGTATAGTTAAGGATTAAAAAAAAAAGGCACCAGCTGGCTGATGGCCACGTTGGCTATGAAAGGGTCAGCCTGTGTCTGGAGCATGGCTGGTCCCCTTGGAAGCATCAAAGAAGAAAATCTGGTTTAAAGAGAGACTAGAAAATGAGGGAGGAAAAGGGGAGACAGGAAGGAGGAGGAAGAAGAGAAAGAAAAGTATCTTACCTCCCAGAGTCATCCCTGCTTCATAACATTTCCGAAGACGGCAAGATGGACAATTTTTCCTTCGGAATTTATCAATAGTGCAATCATTTCTGCTGGCACACAGGTACTTCTGTTTCCCTGGGATAACAAATACAAGAGTGGACAGACCTGTTAATGAGTTTCCAGAGTCTCTTTCTTTGGGTATTTCTAGAACAGAAAAGATATAAAATTATATCTTATCACATGAGAAAAGTGGACAGAAAAGTGGACAGAGTATGGCACCAAACAATTTGATCCTACAGAACCTAAATATTAAAGCAGTTTAATTTGGCACTATATTGTTTGATTTCCATTGTTTTTTTGTTTTGTTTTTTTTTTTTTAGGGATGAACAATTCAGATCCTGATGATATCTCCATTATTAGGACTACTCACTGGTTTTTAAAATAAGATATCCTACTTTTACCAAAAGCCAGAAATGCCCATGAGAAAATGATCCATTGTGGAACTTGTCACCCCTTTAGCATGGCATAGAAGAGATCTGAACTCAGTCAATGTTTCTTCCTATTGACACCTGTAATCATGCATAGAATTACACTCAAGTTAACAAAATGCTTATTTTTCATAATATTAGTACAGGAAAACTTCTATAAAAGATAACTCCATGGGATTTCTAACTGTTTTTAGATTTCTGGTGATCATACCCCTAGTCATGCAGGTTATAAAAATCAGAGATAAAGCCCACTCTATGTAGTGAATCACAGCAACTAAAAGGAAGTTTGATGAAGCCAACAGAGTAACAAAGATCACTGTCATGCACACCTGGAGTTGTCACAGATACACAGAAGTGCACACACATACACATGCTCAGACCTAGAGATCCTCAGAATTACAGCTGCTCAAACATATTTTGCTCAATACTTCGCTCCTTTATGCTAGCACAATCCTGGCACACAGCAGTCTCTCAACAAACGTGGATTGACTGACTAAACATGTAATTGCAGCAGATGGATGCATAGACAAAGAGTCACCAGCAGGAATAAGCAAAAATACATCCTTCGCTGCTCAGAAGCACGCAGAACTTCTCATGCTTACAACCCTGCTCCAGCTTGAGCTTCTGCATCCCCTCACTCCTTTTTGTCTCTGGTATTGTTTCCTCAAATTTATTGCTGTGCTTTGATTTACTGGATAGACTGGGATTTTAGGGAAGCTTCTTTAGGCAGAGGAAGAATACTTGTGGTCGGAAAAAGAAAGAGAAACTAAAGAGTGATTGACATTTGAGAGTAGAAAAAAAACAACTAAAAACATAAATTTAACTATACATCAGCATTCCTCTACATTTACTAAGTCTAAAAGGTGAAGATTAGGCACAGAAATGCATGTGTTACAGTAGGCTATTTTATGTAGTAGGTTCAGTAGTAACCAGGTCAGCAAAGAACTTCTTTTACTTAAAGTGCTACTTGCAAGAGCATGATATTAGATTTATTGTGGTAAAGGATTCTTTTTCCTTTCCTCCTTTTTAACTTTTTATTTCCTTTATTTTTCCTTTAATTTTCCTTTCTCCTTTCCTTCCTTTCTCCCTTTATGAAAGGATTCCAAAATGCTTGGCTTGAAGGAACTGTTAAAAATCACAACAGAACAACTCTCATTCCAAGGAGGAGTTCCAGGGAAGTGAATTACCTGAAGAAGCACACTGAATCAGAGGCCCCCAAAGGAAAAAAACTAGTATTTATTGGGTGCCTACTATGAACCAGGCCTGTGTTAGGGTTTTTTAACATATGAGAAAATTAAGGCCTCTAGGCCGGTGTTCTTTCTAGCATACCACAGGATTTTATTTGCATAAACAGAGCACATAATTTGCTAACAGCTTTTTTTCTGCTGCAAACTGAGGACTACGATATGTGCACAGAAAGGACAGTGCTACGAATGCTGTTCAGCCTTTGGATGTTAGCTCCTCAAAAACAGGTCCTGTATCCAATTCTAGTGCGTTCAATTCCAATGCTGTAGCTGTTCTAGAACTGGTACACTCCCACAGTATTGGTACTGCTGCAATCCTCAAGACCAGTTTGCTACACTGATTACTGAAATAAGCTTAGGTTAAAAAGTGCATGACTTCTTTGAGAAATCTCATCTTCCCCAGGAAAATACTTTCCTGGACCCCAGTTTGCCAATAAATGATTGCACAGCCAATGGAATATGGCTCCCAGAATGGTTCTACATTGCCCTTTTGAAAGAGAATCACTCTGTGAATGAGAGAGGTCATAGTGGAAAAGCATGATTTTTTTTTTTTTTTTTTCAATTTGGGACTCAGATAATTTCCTTAGCATAGTTCATACCTTTTCTCTGGGTACATCTTGGTCTAAAACAAGGAGACCTAAAACATAGATATCCTTTACAATTTACTCAGGAGTAAGTGCAAAGCCCAGTAAAACCAAAGCCATGACATGTTAATTTAACATTTACTGATAATCTATTATGTGCAAGGCCCTGCATTGGGTATTGAGGTTACAGAGGAAAATCTCTAATGAACAAAAATATACAAGTCCCAGATGAGAGACAGATCAGTGGGCTGGAAGCCCCAACATCTGAATCCTTGTTCAGCCTTATCACTAACTCACTATATGACCTTGGACAAGTCCTTTTGCCTCTCTGATCCCATTGATTACACGAAATAGATTGGACTGGAAAGTCATTAAAATCTTTTCCAACTCTAAGAATCTTGAAGGACATCTGGATGTCTTCTGTAATATATTTAGAGTTTTTCTTTCTTTTTTTTTTTTTTTAATGTAAAGGACTTAAGTATTACTGGTAAGCAAGAAATTATCCAAAATAATAATCTCTTGTCCTTGTATTCTGTCTTTTTAGGATAGTAACTTATTGCAACATTGTCTCTTACATCTAAAATCATTTAGTCTCTTGTCTTTGTTTTCTAAAGCTCTCCCAAAACTCAAGGTGGTTAATATAGCCTTAGAAAGGCACTGATGTTGCCAGTCACATGCAACATAAGCATAAACATTCTAATGAACATGTGTGTATTCATGTATGTGTGAGTGCATAGGTGTGTGAGAGTGTGTGACTGAATAATTAACACAGGGAATACAACACCTGCACACTAATTATCTGTGCATATGTGGGTGATCATATAAAGCATAAAACACACCAAAACATACAAATAGGTACACATGACACATGTGTTCCTTCAAAGCAGAATGATGAATTTAACGTTTAAAATGACACTTAATAGTGACAGAAGTGGCTGAGGATTCCAAAGATGGATATGAAAGGAATCTTTTTTTCTGTAAGTCCTAAAAATAAGACCTTATTTATCTGTACAATTTGGTTTAAGGACAAATATAGGGGATGGAACAGGCAATCTCTCAAGACTGCTTACAAGTCACTTCTCCTATCTGAATTATCACTTCCCCAAATGATGATAGAGCCAAGGTAAAATCATTGGTCTGCTATTATTTCTTTCTTATTTATTCAATTTCTCCAAATATATGAATGAGGCTATTAGAGTTCTTAACAGTAACAATAATCACTCTCATTTGATTAGTTTACAAAGTTTAATAATAATCTGCAAGGCCAGGTGCAGTGGCTCACTCCTGTAATCCCAGCCCTTTGGGAGACCAAGGTGGAAAGATTGCTTGAGCACAGGAGTTTGAGACCAGCCTGGGTAACATAGCGAGACTCCGTCTCTATAAAAAAATGAAAAAAAGAAAATTAATTAGGCATGGTGGTGTGTGCCTGAAGTCCCAGCTACTCAGGAGGCTGAGGGGCTGGATCCTTTGTGCCTGGAAGGTCGTGGTTTAAGTAAGCTGTGATTGTGGTACTGCACTCCAGCCTGGGTGACAGAGTGAGACCCTGTCTCAAATAATAATAAAATAATAATAATAATCTGTGCAAAGTAAGTATAATAGGGATTATTACATACTTCATTCTATGATGAAGAAAATGAGACTCATTAATATGAAATTGGCTAGGACTTCCAGTACTATGTTAAATAGAAGTGATGAGAGTGAGTATCCTTATCTCATTCCTGGTCATTGAATATAATGTTAGCTGTGGGCTTATCTGATATGGCCTTTATTGTGTTGAGAAACATTCCTTCTAATACCCAATTTCTTGAAAGATTTTATCATAAAATGATGTTGAATTTTGTCAAATTATTTTTCTGCATCTATTGAGATGATCATATAGTTTTTGTCCTTCATTCTGTTAATATTATTGATTTGCATATGTTGAACCATCCTTGCATTCCAGAAACAATACTAGTCTTTTGTTGAGGAATCTTGCATTGATGTTGATCAGAGATATTGTTCTGCCTGGCATCACATCCTTGGTTTGCTGCAAATCACAGTCCATAAGGTTATGAATCCCAGATTAGTTGGAAAGAATTTTTAAAGACTTTTTGGTTGTATCACATCCATTCCTCCATACAAGGCTTGAATTGTCTCTGTAGCATCCCTGCAAAGTATTGCCCAATCTTTTCTTGAATGCAGCCCGTTTTATCTCTGGACTGTGTTATATGTCCTTTCCTTCCAGGAAACTCACTGTTTCCTTTTAGCTCTAACCCATTGGGCCTAATTAGAAACACAGAATCATTGGGCTGTAAAGAATCTTAAAATGCCCAGTGTGATGCCTGACTCTTCAGTTAAGAAAATGGGCACAAAATATTGAAATTACATGCCCTAAGCCACAGCAAGCTGGTGTTAGTGCCAGCACAAAAATCTGGAAACTGGATCCAAAGGAAATATGGTGTGGGTGATTACAGTCTGAAGACAAAGTCTTCTGAGTGTGGTAGAAATCTTTGCTCTTTGTCTACGAAGTATATGACCTTGTGGATCCCTTCTCTGTATTCAGGTGACAGAAGAAGTGTGTAAATGAGATCTAGGCCTGCTGTAAGGTGGTTCTAGAAGGTCTTCTATAACCTAAGAGACTGAAAAATTAACACAGGGAATACAACTTCCTAGGCAGCTCTCCCTCCTCAGATACTAAAAATATTATACTTAGTTGTTTGACACTGTTAATTTCCAACAGCAAAGTTGTATCCACAGTGTATAATGAAGGGCTCACTATAAGTCATTGTGAAATGAGTGACAAAATACAAAAATCTTCTCATGTTGAAGTAGGTAAGGCC